CTATAATTATGAACAGTGTCCATTGCATTTGCTGTTCCAGAACAATAAAATTAAAACCGTTAAATTTTTGGATCTCAATAGAACAGTTTGAATGCAGATCCTTGTGGAATATAACATCTGTTTTTATGGCATTTAATAATGCGCAATTCACCGTTGAAAGATTTATGACTTTAGTCAAAGGTTACATAATGTTAGTGCAGTTTTAACAGTACGTATTACTTACAGATTAAAATCAAAATTATTGTTACAATGACGGTAGTATAAGATTTCGTGGCAGAACTTCACATGATTTTCACCCAGTGAGTAAGGTTACCAGAGATCCTCCTCCTCCTCCTGATTCTGGGGAAAGGAGCCTCTTGAGTTGCAGCTGTCCATGAGCAATGGTTGTCACTTATCATCAGGTGACATTTACTCTGTCTCAGCGTTTGCAGGCAACCATTCTAAAAGCAATTAAGTAACTACACTTTGTTGATCATTTCGAGTAACTTGCAGTGTCAGTTTTGCTGAAAAAAAAAATGTTATGACTCCACTGACATATCTGATGTATGTAGTGTACATTTTTGAGCTGAAGACAGCAGAATATACAATAGAGAAGCATTGTTACATCTGGATAGAGAGAGTTGTATAGTTTACGCATCCTGACCAATCAGCTTCGATTCTTTAAACGATAATTTCTTGTAACCCGATTGGTTAGGAGGCGGGGCGTTACGTCACTATATTCTTAACGCGAATGGACTCTAGTTCCTTTCTACGATTCCTGTCGAAAAGTTTGAGATAAACTGAAGTTGTTTACACTATGGTAAATATAATTTTCAAACTCTCTTCAGAACGGAGTACGTTCTTAATTCGACGGATGATCTTTACGTTATTTGCCAATTGTGAACTGTTTTTAAATATTAATTGGGATGATGTAAAGAATCTTACGATACCCTATAAATCTAAATCTGTTTGGGCCTTACGCGGTAAGGTATCTCTTAAATATATATGAACATGGGTTGTGGAAGTCTGATGGTAGTCCGCGTAAAATATTTAAGTTCAGGCGTATCGCAGTAGACTTAAAACCGACCCCAGAAAAAGGATCGGAGGGAGGATCATTACACTCTTTTTTGAACAGTTGTGTAAGTTGTTTCGAGAATCCATAATCCTTGGAAGTTCGTAGATGTATTAATGCTTCTCTTTGAACTAATGATAATCTTCAATATATACTCAGTGTATTATATGTAGTAACTCCTCTGCAGGGGCGGCCTTTGCGGGTGGCGCGCAGGGCAACCGCCCGGCGCCTCGCTCATGCAGGGGCCTCGCGCACTCGCGCAACAACCCAAGTAGAAGTACAAGAATGTTTAACTGAATTGAGCGCCTTAAACCTCTCGTTATAAAACTCCGTCACGCTGCTCGGGGTCGATTTAAGTTCGAGGATTATCTGTGTTTCATTCCGCCTGCCATGACATGCTTCCAATGTCTCTTACGCTGTACTGTCGTCTTACGCTTTTATGTTCAAATAGCAGTATGTGTTGCGTTGCATGTTTTGTTCGAAGTATCGTCATTACGAACGAAATCCACAAAAATAAGAAGGGCCTCGCACTGATATAACTGCTCGGGGTCTCGCAATCGCTAAGGCCGCCACTGCTCCTCTGTTTAAACCTTCATCTAATGAACATATATTACCCATTAGAGTGTTTTCCAACTGTTAAATGTTGTGTCCCTCTTAAATGTCCAAATATATATATTACTTATTAAATAAGATCAGTACTCAATAACAAATATTTAAAGGTCATAGCTCATTAGAGCCACTCGACACCGAACAGCACCGCCTCCTCTCGAGCGGTTAGTATTCTTTTTATGGAGTACTATGGGTAAACGCTCACTACATCAACTCCGGAGCGCCTCGCCCGCGGGTTGACGCGGATGGCGAGCTGACCCCTCGGTGACCGCGAGCTGTCCCCTAGAGGTTTACGCGCGAGGACGATGCGTCGGCGCCACACCGCTCCCCTTCGAACGTGTCTGCACCCTTCGACAACGTGTGGACACAGAGTCGAGGTGGTGCTGATCGGGTGTCGAGTGGCTGTAATGAGCTATAACCTTATTTGTTAAGAGTAAACAGTGTGTTGTATCGTAGTTATGTAATGTTTCATATCGATGTTTGAACGGCAATCTGTACTAGACAACACAATTAAACAAATATCGAATCGTCCAGATTTATCTACGTCACTAGGTATATAAACCCCTTTTTTAAAACAAATATGGCGCTCAAAGAAGTAGAAGTTCAGAAAAATAAAAAATTAACAATATATATGCTATACAGTTAAAAATTGTGTAAACAATCTTTATAATAAGACAGTTAAAATTACTTCTCACTAAAATATAACATTTAAACCGGCCAAAATTCGACTGCCTATCGATTTATAACTAATTTTGGGTACTATTCTCGCTTTGTAAGGAATGCCTTTTAAGCGTCGATATGGTTATATATTTTTTTCAATATCGACGACGTTGTTTTAATTTTTTGTTTTTAATAACAAAAAACACGACAATTGTTTAAGAAATCATGTTAAGGCATTAGTTTTTTGTCCATAAAACGTTTGTGTAGATATTAATTTATGTCGTATGAGGTTAGTGTATGATCAATTTGCAACTACCCGCATTTTTAAATGGGATTATAAATAAATTTGTAGCATGGAAATTGCGTTAAAGACGTATTTGCGTTGATAATATTTAAAAAAAACATATCTAGGAGGTTTATGTTAGTGTGTTGAGTAGTAAATACATTGCTCGGTCTGTACTGATTTGATGAAAATCAAAGTCTATTGATGAGTACAGAACACGCAATGTATACTAAACTTGAGCTAAAAAACAGTTTTAACATACAGCAATGATTATAAAAAACAATCTTAGCAGGTTACTTTGATTAGTTAAACATTAAATTTTAAGCTATCTAGAGGTTTACTCAAATACACACCAAAAAGGTGGATCGGTTTAGAAGTTTCGTTGTACAGGGATACATAAAAAGTACACAAATAAACCCGAAAATTTAAAGATATTTAAAATATTTGAGTAGACTTTTTGTTAAATCGAAATCAGAAATGCGTCTTTAATTAGCATTTTACATTTGAATGTTGTTGTATAATGTATTTATGTAGTAATTTGTATTCAATACAAATTGTATTCACGTCGACTATAAATTGTTGTTGTATTGTACAATACAATTGATGTTGATAGGATTTGTATTTGATATATTTTTATTAGTTTTAACAATACAAAGTGTGTACATATTTTTTATCCCATAAGTTACATACATATTTTTAATTGTAGCGACACTCAAAGTGTCCACTATTATATGTTTAGTGTAGTTGAAGTGTATTTGTCGCTTCGGCAATCTTCGGGTGCACTCGGCAATGTACGAATTTATTTTTGCAAAATCGAGGGTAGTACGAAAAAATTTTAAAAATAGTCCAATGAACCAGTGGCGATGACTAAATCGGTAGTGGCTTCCTAGAATGACCTACAAACTGTGATCTGCCGAAAGAGAAGATCAAATATTCTTAATAGACCATAAGCTTGAAAGCAGTTTCCAAAGACTAACGAGTTCCCATCAGTCAAGTCTCTATGCCGCAAAATCTTAACTTCGAATAGTATTAAATGTACGGTTCCACTCCTGCGTTTAGTTCCGGAATGCCTACGAATTGATTGGACAACCGTTCAGGGACATAAAGAGAGCTGATGACCTTCAAAAAGCTTTTTTTTTTAATTAAATTAAAAATGAATCAAAATCCGTCGGCCTTCAAAATCGGTCTATCCGTTTAAGATCTATGATGCTACAAACAGACTAAGTAAATACTTTGCTGTGCCAATTGACCTATTTTAGTATAAACCCTCGTTTTTGACCCCTCGTCACTGCCATCGGTCATATTGCAGTTATGACGTCACATACGGACAAAGCCGAAACACTTCCGAGTGTACACGAGTACTCCCGAAGTTGCTTTATATATCTCGTTCTACCACTAAATTAGGTTCTATACACACTGGTAGGTAATAATATTTAAAAAATATGTATGTTAATTGTTTTCAGTGTGCAGTGTGTATGCTGTCTAATAAATTTAAAACAAGTAAATGTATGTCTTTATAGTATATTAGTGTAGTTGTGTAAGGACTTTTACATTTTACGACTTGTCGACTATCACAGTAGTGACGTCACCTTTCCCCCCTTTAACTCACTTAATAAGAAAGCTAGGCAGCGCAGTTTAAGTTATAATCGTGGTTAAGCATCCTTATCTCAGGCCAGTACTTAGAAAGGTGATCAATTTCTGAAAGATCCTATTCTATGAAGAATCCTATTACCAGAGTCATTATGAATGCTGAATTCTCTTAATTAATGTTGTCTAAACCGCTCCTAGAATTAAATGGTGTTATTTTTTTACCCATTCAAGTAAACTTGCATTATAATGTTTTTTCAGAAAAGCACTAACATTTAATACAATAGAAGTTATTTATTTCACAAAAAAAGGGATCTCTCTCTCTCTCTCGCTCTCGCTCTCTCTATTAATATCTTAATGATATCTTCATCTTAATTTTTTTCTTAGTAACATGCTGATTCTTTTTAAACTTGCTCAGATAAAATAAAAAATACTACTCTTAATTTTTTTAAAACATCTTTTGAAAATCGGCTCGTTGGACCAATGACCAGTACCTCTACTTGAAATTGAGAGCTCGAAGGACCATTATCTTTTCTTGCAAAATAATGGACGTTCAAGTATTCTATATGCATATTTATTGGGTGGGTTTTATGATATAGAGAGTGAGTAGGTTCCTATAATAATTCTTAATAGAGAGTGAGACATAACATTCATTAACCTCCTTTCTAAGGAGGGGCCTATGTCCAGCAGTGGACTGTTAAAGGCTGTTGATAATGATGAACATTCTACCATCGATATTGTCACTAACTATCGTATATAACCCTGCATCGCACAATTATAATTCTCGCCACGATTATCAACCGTGTTCTTATGGTATTAGATGGAAAAATTAAAGGTATAAGCAAAGATAGATGGCAAGAAACGGCAATGTTAGGGAAGGGTTTTTGCTGCTACGGATTTGTTGAGGGGGTAAGATGTCGAACTGGTTGTTTCCGGAAGGTCCGAACCTTCTAATCTAAAAACCCAACCTTTTAATATCTATTATAACACTAGCTGTGCCCTGCCACGCCCGCTGTGGCACATTGTGGTAGAATTGATGAGAAATTAAGATCGAAACTGACGCGAAAATAGATAAAAACAATCTTCGAAGCGGGTTGTATATCGAGTCGAAATTTGAGCTCAATCGGTGTAGAACTTTTTGAGTTTTTGTAGCATAAACAAACCAACTTAACATTTTTATATATGTGGATTTATTATATTTCCAACTCCTCCAATTTACTTCTAAGTAATTGCGTTGCGGGTTCCAAGACAGTTTAACTTTTCCTGCGACTTCCAGTGTCAGAACTCGGTGTGTTCGTCGGTCACTGCTGTCGATCCTGGTGTACAGGAGGTACAGTATTGGACGTGTGGGAGGGATTAGACATATTTTCACTTCACCTTATAAATAAGGAGGGAGGCACTTGAAAGACGGTGTGACTCTTAAGTTGTAGTTGTCCATGACCATGGAAAAACTTAGCAATAAACAAAAACACATGAGGTATTTTAAATTTCCTCGCATTATACTTGAAAGGTCGTGTTTAAAATAATGGCGAATTCGAGATGGCACAACTAAATCCCTAAACTACTGTGCGCTTTTCCCAGACCCCTTTTGCTCCGCACAACCAATCTGTGGAACGGGTTATCGTTTGCGGTATTTCCGAACCGATACGACCTTCAAACCTTCAAGAAAAGAGCGTACGTCCTTCCTAAAAGGTCGGCAACGCGTTTGGGACTCCTGAGTTGCAGACGTTCATGGACGGCGATGGTCACTCTCCGTCAGGTGACCCGTGTGCCCCCTCTAACATAAAAAAAAAAACGTAATAGAAAGCACTTTTTTAATTATATAATCATACGCCTCAGTACTATTTTGATTCGTTATATTTTTGTAACTATTCTAAGTCTTCTAACTGGATATTGACTGATAAGAGAATGTGAGATATTTTTTTGACGGCATCAAAAATTGGATCCAGGAACTTGTGGTGTTTTCACTAAAAACCACATCAACGGTCGGCCTCAGGCGCCCTACTCTGGGGAGGACCCGGACCATTTGAATTCAGGTCCCTCCCCGGATCGACGCTGCATCTAAAAATGCCCTAAACTTGAGGCAACCGTAAGATCCAAAATTACGTAACCATCAAACTAGTGTAGCTATTGTAGCAGCACACCTAGCGTCATCTAACCGAAACTATTGGAACTGTTACGTGAAGCCATTGATTGGAGGATTGGAGAATGTTCCTCCTTGGCAGTGTCAGTATCTCTCAGTAGTATAGCGTTTTGATTTTAAAACAACTTGTTTTAGTAAAGTCTCCTAAACCTAGTTTAGTTGCACCGTACCTACATCCGTGAAGGACACATTAAACTCCAGCATTTTGCAGACTGTATTTCTTATCAACAGCACAACCAATGTGTCATCTGCGGTATTTCCGGACCGATATGACCTTCAAGAAAAGAGCGTACTCCTTCCTTAAAGGACAGTTTACGCGCTTGTGACAAGTTGCAAGCGTTCATGGGCGGTCGTTGTCACATTTCATCAAGTGACCCGTCTGCTTATTGCTGTTAACCAACCGGGCATTAGGAATCAGATGGGAAAATTGGCAGTATTCATAGCATAGGTTGCAAATGAGCTAACCATTCACTTGATGGAAAGAGACTACCGCCGCCCATGAACACCGACAGTTCTGGAGTCTCTAATGCGTTGCCGGCATTTAAGTCTCGACCCACCAAAATAAATTTATTTTATAAAAAGAAAATTGTATAAAATCGTCTTTTGTGTAGACTCTTAAAGTCGTAATAGCAACAATCTCTGTTTTGTCAAATAGTAAGGAAAAAAAAATTAAAAAAAAATTATACATATATTAAATCTATGATATGCCTGTGACGATCCACAACCACCCGTCTCCAAAGAGTTGAGCCGCATGAGAAGAAAGGCAAACAAACTCATAGTGGCCGTGAGTTTTGCAATTTACAGATAAATATATCTGTTCCTTTACCCTCCTATACCAAAAAGGAAAGATATAACAAAAGCGTGAGAGGAGTTCGTTGACATGAGATTGAGAAGGAATTCAGTGGTGTCAAAACTAGGGTACTCTTAAAAAGATTTAAAGGTCAAACTAGTTGCTTATGAATATAAACCCCAGTTGAGTCGGTTCACATCACATCAACAGCCTTTAACAATCTACTGCTGGACATAGGCCTCTCCTTAGAAAGGAGGTGTTGGCCTATACCACGGTGGCCAGACGGGTTGGTATAGGGTTTATGTCAAGTTTTCCTTCTCTTTGCAGTGCTGTCCTAAGTAGTTTGCCCCCTTTTATATAAATTTTAAATGTGTCAAACGAAATATACTTCAGTTGAGTCCTCAAGCGAGTTCAAATTTGCTTCAAAATGAAAAAAAAACGACTATTTTTCGACTATGACTATTGCACGTTTACTTTGACTATTTCGACTACGTATCTTTATATCGAATAAGCATTTTCTATAATAAGTACATTTAGCTACTGTTATTTTGATATGTGTAACATTGTACATAGGTTTTATAAATGTCTTCACTTGTATCGATGTGAATAAATTAATTAATGTCTATAATGTTGGTTTATTTCGCGGTTCTCCACTTGACCATTCTCCCTCCTACTCGAGCCTCATAAATCAAGTTCCATCTCTACTGGACGGTGTCCAGAAAAGAGAAGGCGACATTTCCAAAATCTCATCCATTAACAGCATGAGGCACTAACCTGTATCTCTTCCTAGAGTTCCTCTACTCTTCTAGTTTCTTCAATAAAATTTTCATGACAGAGGGCAATGCCATCCTCAGGTTTAGGGCGAAAGCTCTAAAACAGTACTAATACATTCGTATTATTCTTCAGCTACCGTCTTTGTTGATGCTATGGGGGGGGGGGGGGACATATCGACTATTTTTGGACTCGATGAGGGGCATTATTTTATTTTACAAAAAAAAAAACTCCCGCAGTAGTAATATATCCTGTATCGCGGGTGACTACAAATATACCTACATGAAACGGACACAAAAAACACCCAAACTCAACAATAATTTGTAGATCACACAGAGTGTTGTCTCATGTGGTGAGGCGACCGCTTAAACAACTACGCCATCCATGCTGTGAATTAACAGGGTTCAATCACTATTATGCAATATTAAACTCCTAGTGGTTAGTGATTCTGACTTCACATCCAGAAGTTCATGGGTTCGATTCCCACCTATAATAAATAACTGATGGATGAGCACAATTATTTGTTCTGTGTCTGGTTGTAATTCATGTATTCTGGGTATATCTTGTGATATATAGGTATGTTAACATGCCCTCGCCTTTGTACATGACATTTCCTTGTTAATTATATATATGTATGTGTTCAGTGTGTACAATAAATAATAAATAGAAATAATTAAATAGAACACAACGAATCCGACTGATGATAAATACCGTACTTTGTAGATTTCCCAATTGAGCTCAACCTGCAATCCCTAACTCTAGGCTTTCCCCGGATAAGTTTATTTATTTACATATCATGCACATTTGGTGCATTGGCAGACTTAATGCCTAAAGCATTCTCTGCCAGTCAACATTTGGGTAATGCAGAGAAAACAAGAAGTAGGTGCATCATGATTACAGTTAATTTTAGACGATTTTTAGATGTATATATACTTTATACAATATCATATAATATATACACATAAAAACCTGTCATATAATACACCTATACATTATAAAATTACACTTAAGTACATACATAAATACACTATATAATAATAATAATAATATTATTCTACCACATTCACACAACGCCATCTAGTCCCAAACTAAGCAGAGCTTGTACTATGGGTACTAGACAACTGATATAAATACATACATACTTTTTTTTTGTAAATACATACATATTATACATAGAAACACCCAGACCAAATCAAACATTAAATGTTCATGCACACAAGTGTTTGACTTGAGCTTGAATCGAACCCGCGACCTTTGGAATAGCCAGATATAATAGAATAGTCGTCAAAAGTACATAAAAGTATATAAATACATACATACATACGCAAATAGATACTGATAACAATTTTATAAAAATCCCATGAAACCCTAAGACTCGAAATTCTGACAGCACCCTTGATATGACCATTCTTACTCCTCCAGGAGCCTCCACCGGAACCAGTGGAACCTGAACCAGTAGAAGCAGAGCAGCCCAGCGACAATGAGTCAGCAGCAAAGGCCAAGGAGGCGAGGGCCCAGGCCTCCATCAAGGAGAGAGAGCGGGAAGTGCAGAGGGCACTGGCCACCAGTTTACGGGACCGCGATAAGGAACGGGAATACCACAAAAGGGATGAAGCTGTACAGGTACAGTACTGAACACTACTTCTACTCTTATTGAGGAGATTATTGCGTAATGCACTGAAGATGATGATGAAATGGGTTGTATATAGGGTTTCCAGATAGAAACATATCAAATCCGGGACAATTCTAGGATAACGGTGTCGGGTCGTGGCCATAGTAAAAAGCATCTTGTTTTTTTTTATTTTCGATTATATTTGTATTATTTTTTTCTTCTTTTCCTTTTTTTTTAAAAGACAACTCCCGCATTAGGAATAAGTATATCCTGTGTTGCGGGGGATTTACAAACGTACATGAAACGGACAAAGAACACCCAGACTCAGGACAACAATTTGTGGATCACACAAAGTGTCGTCCCATGTCTGGATCGGACCCACAGAACTTAACGTAGTAGTAAGCGGCGTGGCGACCGCTTAAACCACTACGTCATTCGTGCAGTCATTCATTTGAAAAGGAAAGTGCATTTATTCTCAAACACATACTTTTATGAGACAGGTATCTACGCACTTTGTAAGCACTCCCCTCCCGCGCGCCGCCCGTACTCACAGGCAGGCCAGCCGTGTCATTCGTTGTTAGTTTATTTTGTTACAAAACTAGTAGGTTTTCAGAATTCGGGACAATAAGGTCTAATTACTGGACACGGGACAGGACGCAAAATGCCGGGCCATTCCTGAATTTCCCGGCCATCTGGCAAGCCAAGTCGTATATCCTTGTCTTGTCCGTCCTGTTGATCTAATGATCCGAACTGGGTTGGGTCAGTGATCTTGGGTCCAATAATAAATCAGTGGAGTAGTTAAGGTCTGATCATTAATACTACCACTATATACCCTAAACCACCGACAGACTGTCAGAAGAACCGTCCCCAAACTATGCGAGACAATGTTAACCCGTCTCTGCTAAGACTCTGCCACGTCTTCCGTAAGTCCGACCTTCTCTTATGTGGACAATAAATTAGGTTATTAAGAAACGGATAGAGTACCTTTTCCACTCAATCAGAATTGAATGAAGATACTATGTATTTTATATAGATTCGAGGTATGTGTTTAGACCACAATAAAACGTATCAAACAGTATGTATACTAGGCAAACGAAATACAAAGAAAGAAAGAAAGAAAATACGTTTATTAGTCACAACACAAACACAGCCAAAAAAAGGAATTACAGATATAACATAGAAGAGAAAAAGAAAAGAAACAATTTGCTCAACTGAAGAATAGCACAAACAATAACAAAAACAAACAAGTACAAAAGAATAAAATGATCACTGTGTGTGACTCCCTCTGACTGTGTGTGAGTCCCTAAAAGTGACCACAGCGCTGATTTTCAGCTGAAGCCCAAAGGTACCTCACGGACGTGTGCACAGTTCAATTACAATAAACAATATGTGAATACAATAAACATACAAATAAAAGTGATAATTACATACATTAATTACATAACATACATTCTGTTAATATAATAAAGATATCAAATAACTAGTTAGTTGGAAATTGATAGATATAAGAGCAGAGAACAAATTTTTATTTATTTATTAAATAATGTGAGCAACATTGCGAGAACTAATTCTACAATTACAAGGTACTGGATTTTTGTACGGTTAAAAGCAATACCTTTGAGCAAGATTCTTTCATAACAACTCTTGTGCGATTGGCCCCTACGGAATCTTCGGCAATGTGTCAAATTATAATAATAATAATAATAAAATTCTTTATTGCCACAAATTAGTATATACAGGTTAGACATTTCGAGATTATAGTCCAAACACAAATAACATTATATAGTGATCTGCTGGTTCTTAAAATAGGATAATCTGTGCTATAAGTACCAGCAACCTCTGCAGTATCACTAAAATACATTTTTAGCTGGTTATAAAACAATAAAGATGCAATAAGAACAATCTAAACTACAATAGCTTAAAAGCAAGAAAAACATGCAATTAACTTAGGTGTGTGTGTGTGTGTGTGTGCGTGTGTGTGTGCGCGTGTGTATGTGTATGTGCACGTGTCAGTTATTTATTGTCACGTGTCATTAACTCGCTTTAGAACCTCAGACCAGTAGGAAGATGTGCCTGCGATTTTAATGAAATACTTCTAGAGAAATTGAAACTAATTACGCAGAATGACCAGGTGACCCGTCTGCTGGTCTGCCCCCTCTAACATAAACAATTCACACACATGTAAATGTATAATCATACAACATACACGTTAACCTGGCCAGGTATATTGTTTGTACATAGCAATAAGACGTAATATTCTTTAGCCACAGTGTTATTCTAAAATAGTAATTACCCAGGTGTCTGATTTGTGATCAAATTTGCTTTTGGCTATTATAAAATCCAAAACACCTTTTTTTTTTCCGTGCGGAAATCCTGTCGGTGGCGTGTCGGACACGAACGCCGTCGCCGGTACTAATAGCCGGGGAACCAGGTATACCTTAGAAAGGAAGTCCCTGGTGTCCCGACATACCTCGGGTCATCTACAGACGAGTAGACCCCCCCCCCCCACCCGCCCCTATAAAATCCAAAACACCTAGAATCATGATTCCTACTTTCCTACAGAATCATAGTCGGGACATTTTTATAATTTTTTATCCTTAAAAAAGACCACTCCCGCACTTGGGATATGTCATATGTCGCGGGTGAATTTACCCAGACTCAGAACAACAATTTCCGGATCACAGTAATTTTTGTCCCATGTTTGGATTGAATCCACAATAGTTCATTGAAGCGGCGAGGTGACCTCTTAATTCACTGCGCCATCCGTGCAGTCAGTCATTCTATTTCTATATTTTTTATCGATAGCATTTCAACGCGCTACTGGCAGACCTGGTGCGAAACCCTGACCTTCCGTGGAGAGATGCAAAAAAACAGCTCAAGAAGGACCATAGGTACAGCTTAGCCGAGCTACTCACCAAAGATGATAAGGTATGTTTAAATTAAGTACTGCAGTGGTTCTGTAATGTCGGTGTCTTCTAGAAGGTTGCTTTATTTCTTGAATGGATTCTTTTATTTAAGGAGATATGGCACAAAAAAAACCATGGCTATAAAATTCCTTGACCTGAATGATTGAAACCGCTGCGACTAAGAAAGGAAATTACACCTCTAAGGTGGTAAAATAAGGGATAAACGGTTGTATGGAAATTCGTCATTTTATAATATATTAACTAGTATTAAAATAAAGTGGTATTGTTCTCCAGGAGCGCCTGTTCGTGCAGCACACCAGCGCTTTGGCGGCCAAGCGCCGCGACAAACTACGAGCACTACTGCAGGAACGCAATATCACGTGCACAGCGCACTGGAGGGACGTCCGCGCCATGCTCGCTGACGAGCCTACCGCGCCGGTGTACTCCAGCGCGTCGCAGGTACTGTGTAGGAGTCACCTGCACACTTTTCAGGGTATACGACCCGGGACAGATGACACTCCGGTGCGGCCGGAGGCTGTCGTCCAAGACGGGATGCTGTTTCGACTTTCTAGGAGCGCCTGAAAAGCCTATGTATTGTCATCCCCACCACTTGGATAATTGGCGCACCACCACTGTGCGCTTTTCAAGACACTGCCTCGCACTACCAATCTGTGGAACAAGTTATCGGCTGCGGTATTTCCGGACCGATACGACCTTCAGACCTTCACTTGCGCTTGCGACTCCTGAGTTGCAGACGTTCATGGGCGGCGGTAGTCGCTTTCCGCCGTCACTCTTGTCGATAGTTTCCGTTCAACATAATAACATCCGGCACTCGAAGGCCGGGATAGCGTGCTATGTATTCATCCATGAGCCGGACACGCATTGGCAGTATTCGTAAAAAAATCAAGAAATAAACATACAATATTCCTCGTTCGCATAGTTCATCAGCTCCAACAGTATCTAACTAAGGGAGCAAACTAAGCAGGACAACAGCACTGCAAAGAGAAGGAAAACTTGAAACAAACCCTATACCAACCCGTCTGGCCAGCGTGGTATAGTAGGCCAAAACCTCCTTTCTGAGGAGAGGCCTATGTCCAGCAGTGGACTAGTATAGGCTGTTAATGTGTGATGTGATGTGAACAGTATCAGAATCACAAATCAAAGTCCACTTAGCAATAGTTAGTCATGACGAGAAAACGAAACAGGAGGTGCAATATCTTAAAAATTGTTATTTTTGGGATCTATCAGAAGTGATGGCAACTACAACCCCTTTTTTTTTGTCATTGCGGAAATCCCCTCGGATGCCACCTATCGGTGGCATGCCGGACTCGCACCGACTAAAACCGCACGCCGTCTCGGGTACTAATAGCCGGGGAACCAGGTATACCCTAGAAAGGAAGTCCCTGGTGCCCCGACATACCTCGGGCCATCTACAACAACAGGTAGACGACCCCCCCCGTGTGGGCTCCCCATGTTCCCTCTGCTCCCTGGCCTCACCTGTCACCCCCAGGCCTGCGCTTATGGAGGACGGAGGTAGTTCTGCGACCTCCGGCGCCTGAGTCGCCTGCGGTACCTGGCCCGTCCTGGCCTGGCGGGCTGGGAGAGTCCTAAACCTCTTCCGGTCCCGCTCCGCCGTCTCAGACGGAGACGGCAGAGTTCCACGCACTCTCGCTCCGCACGATAGCCGCAATCAGGCTATCGAGCGAGAGAACTCCCACTCCGATAGCCGCCACGAGGTCTCGCCTCTGCTCAACCGACGCCGGGCACTCTGCCAGCGTGTGGAGAGCCGTGTCCACGGTCTGGCCATCGCAGTGGTGGCACTCAGGCGGCAACTACAACCCCTTAAAGTATTTAGGTCGACTAACCCAGTAACCCTGTATAATTAAACTAACAGTATTTACGAGTATAATCAAAAATTAAAATCCTTCACCACCTTTTTAAAATAAGGCTAAGGTTTTAGCTTATTGGATTGTCATATTCCTTTATTTATATTATCCTATATTTCCTTTATTTAGTGTTGACGCAATAAAGACTTTATGGCGCTGGATTCTTTGAAATCCAGCCACCTACCTGACTCCAAAATTCCTTAGGAATCAACAGCCTTTATAGCAGGCTGGACATAGGACTCTTTTTAGAAAGAAGGTTTTGGCCTTAACCAATTTCCTCAGCAAGCACTGATCAAATACCTAATCTAACACGGATAAAGGGGCCAAAAAGACGCTTCAATTTGAATGTCAAACCACTGAATTGGATGTTTTATTCTTCCCGAGAACAGAACTAAGGCTTTTTGGGAACATTCATCAACAGCCTATAACAGTCCACTGCTGGACATAGGAAAATAAGGACCTCTCCTTAGAAAGGAGGTTTCGGCCTACTTATACCACGCTGCCCAGACTGGTTGCTATAGTGTTTGTTTCAAGTTTTCCTTCTATTTGCAGTGTGCTGTTGTTGGTTTACTCCCTTAGTCGGGACAGGGGTGGTGACACTCAGTATTCTTAATTTGTCACCACACCATGTATATAATCCACCTACATTTTCAGATGGAACGCGAATTCCGTGACTACCAGCGCGATAAGCAGTCAGCCGCGAAGACAGCGATGAGACAGCTTCTCCTAGAGACGAGATCCATCACACACAAAAGCTTAAGTGCTGTAAAAGAGAACCCTAATGCACTCCAACATGTTCTTGACGCGCTTAAACATGATGCCAGGTACGTTAGCTATAGCAAATTTTAGTTCGCATACGCTGTATCTAGTTTTGACTAGGAAAACTAGTTTTGCCTAAGATTAAGATTCTTCAGAATCTGTTCATAAAATTGTCCAATGCTTCTGGAGCTACTGCAGTTAATGTAAAGCCGTAATTAGATGGTGCTGTAGTGTTTCTGTTTCTTTGTATATGGGAGTCGCCACGCACATATATTATATACTAGCTGACCCGCGCAACTTCGTCTGCGTCTCTCAATAGTAATAAATTTTACTCCGTTTTTGAAACATTCTTCATTGGTGCTCCGCTCCTATTGGTCTTAGCGTGATGATATATAGCCTATAGCCTTCCTCGATAAATGGGCTATCTAACACTGAAAGAATTATTCAAATCGGACCAGTAGTTCCTGAGATTAGCGCGTTCAAACAAACAAACAAACTCTTCAGCTTTATAATATTAGTATAGACTAGCTGACCCGCGCAACTTCGTCTGCGTCTCTCAATAGTAACAAAATTTTCTCCGTTTTTGAAACATTCTTCATTGGTGCTCCGCTCCTATTGGTCTTAGCGTGATGATATATAGCCTATAGCCTTCCTCGATAACTGGGCTATCTAACACTGAAAGAATTTTTCAAATCGGACCAGTAGTTCCTGAGATTAGCGCGTTCAAACAAACAAACAAACAAACAAACTCTTCAGCTTTATAATATTAGTATAGATAAAAAACACCCAAACATCGAAACAAATATTCGCACATGCAAACAGGCCTCAGCACAGCACGCATATGCTACCACCGAGGCATTTAAATTGATTTATGATGTAATAATATTGTATTTAATTTCTTTATCCAACCATTCCTATCCAAGGTATACGGCACTCGACCACATAGCGGAGGAACGGCAGCAGATCATCACGACTTACCTCGAGGAGTTGGAGAAGAAAGGTCCACCCCCACCGCCCACTGCGACAGAGCCTTCTAGAAGGACCAAACAGTGACATCAAAGATTTCGTGTGTTAAGGTAGAATCTTAGATGTGATTGTTATCCAATATTACATTTTAATGTTAATGGATAGGTGACCATTTTAAAAAAAAGAGAGACCCCTCCCTGCCATGGAGAGCACGTTAAGCTGTGAGTCCCGGTTGCTATACGGACATTTTTGCCAACCATTACGAGTAGTCGGTGCCCTAAAACGTCCGACAACAGTCTTACCACAGAACTTCGATGTCGCTTTGTACTTGGGTTGTGGAGGTCTGAAGGCAGTCAGCAGCATCACACTACCAGTACTATAATCAAATCAGGGAATAAAACCGCCAGGCGATTTCCAGTAAAGTATTTTTTCTTTCCGCAGAGGTATACCATCAAGATGACACAGGGCGCGGGGAAGGCAGGTGAGCTGCAAGACACCCGGCTGTACATTTAAAAGAGCTCACGCTGGTTATTCCTTTAAATGTAATTTTTAAATGAAATAAATAAAACATGTTATTTATCAGTTTTATTGTTCATGCTCCTGTACTGATGAAGGTCAAATGTTTTGTGTCCATCAACCTTAACCCCAAACAAATGTGAATAAGATATAAAATAGATTTAGAGTAGTATTCATTCAAACAGTTTATTATTATTATTAAGTACTAGCTGAGACCCGCGGTGTTACCCGCGTTTGTTGTTATAACCGCGGGCAACGCCGCGGGGCGAAGCTAGTCTAAAAAAGTAGCCTAAGTTACTCCTTATGTCATCAGCTATCTGCCAGTGAAAGTCCCGTCGAAATCGGTCCAGCCGTTCCAGAGATTATCCGAACAAACAGACAGACAGACAAAAAAATTTAAAAAATGTTATTTTGGCATTACATATATGCATTTAGTAAAAAGCGGTTATTTTAATATTACAAACAGACACTCCAATTTTATTTATTTGTATAGATATACTCTTCCTTAGTTTTTTTTTCTCGTTTGATTGTAATTAGTTTACTACTTTTTACACTAAATGCTATGTACACCTTAATTGTACTACATATCAGGTATAATGCCACATATTGTCAAAACTAGTTATAATTTGGTAGTACTTATTAATATATTAAATAAAAGGTCAGATACAGTGAAATTAGTCTCGAGAAATTTTTGCATATGTAGTGGTGTGTATATTACTCAGATCTTAGAGCGCGTTTCCACTATATCGTTCTGGCCTATACAAAAATGTTTCGATATCCTAACATTACTATTTAATTTTATACTTATCCCTAGCAACACTGATTTTTGTTTTCGATAAAAACAAGTTTTTATTGTAAAGAAAAAGGTTTTGACTTTATAAAAAAAAAGGTGTGTGTGCGATTCACACACGATAGAAGTGAAACTTCAAAGAAGAGAGACCGATATTTAAATTTTTTTTTTTTTCCTTTCATCTAGGTTTTTAAAACTCCGGGGGGTCTACGGGGGGTCAAAATTTTTGTTATTTTTGGCCTAGGACGCACCGTTTCCGAGATATTTCAATCTAAAGCAAAAAATCATCACTTGATAGTGGAAAGTGGAAACACGCACAAAACCAGAATAAACCAGTTTACGCTGTCCGCTACCATACACTACTGCAAACGCAAAAATTTCTCCAAGCTAATTTACCTGTACATGTGTACCGTACCGTGGAAGAGTCGTGCTTCGGCGCATACGACTCAGCTCGAATGAAATGATACCACGACCTCACAGAAAACAGCTGTAGAGCCATTCTTTTTGCACGCTTTTTATTAGCTTTACCTGTATGTTTGTTTGTAGCCGACTTTGTAGATATATCGAGGGTCGATGACAATAGAGTAATTTAAAATAAAAAGAAAAAATAAAATAAAAAAAGTTAAAAAGAATAACTAAAAACACTTTATAGAAAACCAAACTAAAAAATATTTATTATTATTTTTTTGTATTTTGTGGCCGTGGTGCTTCTCTGTTTTAAAGGGTGTATGACTATTTTACTTCATTTTGTCTTCTGCTTTGCTAAGGAGGGAAGTGGATTTACTGTATTTCCAGCTCCTCCAATTTCCTTCTGATTAATTTCGTTGCGGGATCCAATACATTTTAGTTTTCTCTGGGACCTCCTAATAGTCCGGTCATTTTAGACAAAAAAATAGTAATCAAATAAAAAAAAATCCGACAGAGCCAAATCTTCGTAGAGTCGTCGTCGTGGTTTACCACAAGGAATAAAGTGTCAAAAGTCCCCATCAGTCCCATGTGAGCTTAGGGACTTATTCGGGGCCCAAGGTCAAAATTTTAGGTTTTTTGGATTTTTCTCGACACCGGTAAGTTTTATCGAAAAAGTACCAAGTATCAGAGCAAAGTTGTAGATCTTAAAATTCATGTCATTTTAGACATCGAGGCAATCCCAACTTCACGAGCTTTATGACAATTAATCTTATCGTCACCAACGACTCCTGAAGCAATAGATAGATTTTGTTAATTTCGGGAAAAGGATCATGTGATGAAAACCAGTCAAGAAGTATTTTAATATCTTTAGCATCTTTCTTAACTCTCGAATCACTCGCATCTACATGTTGATCTGTCGTGTCCATTCGAACATTAGCAAGAACTTCCAACTCGTCACACACTGTGTTCATTGCATGCATTCCGTAAAACCATTTGCTTATTACACTTTCTTTTGTACTTCGTCCTCGAGAAATACCACCATCTGGTACGGGAGCTAGCAACGTTTGGAAAGTAAGAATTTTAGGTCAGCTGATTTTGTGATATGTCGTCCTTCTTGCACTTTCGGTTAGACTCTGGGCTATCTGGCTGGCGGTAGCGGTTGCGTTCATTAGTGCGCATCCTAACTGTCCAGGTAGTAATCCTGTATTTTAAAACCATTTTAGAAGGCGTAATTTTTAATTTTTTGTTTTTAAATAAGTCTACCTGACATACTTTTTTTATTGCCAGACATTTTTGACAATGCTAACTATGTGCCATACGCGATTTTATTTTATTTTTTTATAAAAATTTCAAAGTATTTTATAATGTCTGTAATTTTAATGTTATGTTATTTAAGATAAGAAAAACTTAAAATAAATTTGCCAGACATTAATTCGATTGTTAAGTCTTGAATTAAAATTAAAAAGTCATGAAAAGTATTGCAGTATAATGCTAGTAGTCCGAGAGAGATAGTTGCAGAATAAGTCGAGAATGATACAGAGAACCATTACGAAAGTAAATTACTTTTCACTGTGCATATAATTAAAAAAAAATAATAAGAATAATAATAATCATCATTCTAGTCAGAGCAAGTTTCAAAAAAAATTTTAAGCATAAAAAGGAATATAAAATTAGATTAGTCCATATGGGACGATGTAGTCGCTCAGCGACAAAGTCCTTTTATTAATAAATATAAAAAAAAAAAAATAGATTAAAATTTAAAAAACAACACTTTTTATTTAAACAGACAACACTTTTTTTTATGTAAATTATAAATAAATTAATATTAAGTTTTTCAAGTTATTTCAACCAAAGTTACAAAAAAAAGAGGCATCTTCACAATCATCATCATCATCGTCGCTGTCTTTGTCAGTGTCATTCATGTCATCTTCTTGGGAACTTTCGTTATCTTCTAAAACTCTATCATCTGCAACAGAAAAAAAATAAACAGTGTAATTCTTCTAGTTCGTTATAAAACATTTTAGTTATTATTGATAAATATTCCATTTCACACTTACTTTGAACAATAATATCTGCAACTGAGGATGGTAATTGATCTCCCAAAAACCCATTGACCTAAGAATATATATTTACTTCCTCATTGCAAAAACCAGACAAAATCATATTTGTCACCGTTAATGGTCCAACCGAAAGTCATTGGAGATAAATATGTTGGATGTTTTGAGTGAGCATTTCTCCAAATTTTCGTCACCTAACGAACCCTCAATAAATGCTGTTGCAATTCCGCTTTACAAGGTGGCAAACTGGATGAGTCAAAGTTTCGAAATTTTTTGTTGAAGTTCTCATCTGATTTTTTAGACTTAAACGTACTTGAAAATAAATGAAATCGAACATCATTAACATTGGAACAATTTTTAACTCCATACATTTGACAAATAAATTTCTCCAGGGTTACAAACGTAGTTTCAAGTATTTCTTCGTCATCCGTAATAATATTATCAAAAGCTAACTGGTATTCTTTAGAATTTTCTAATATTTTAAAAGGCTTAACTTTGCCTTTTCTAAAAAAAGCTGGCGTGTAATCACATCCGGTTATTGCGTGGAAGCATGGTAAAGCTTTGCATAAAGAGTCACCAAGAATTCGGTGTAATTCATTGATGTTTATGTAACGCTGATGATTTCCAACACCCATATTTATCCAAATTTTCAAAGATGCTTTCAGGTGATCCATATTTCCCAGAAGTATAATTAAAATATCAGAATCAGAACAGCGTACGAGTATAACAACGTCTGCATCAAAATCGATTTGGCAAATATGAAAAATAATCCTAGAATCAGCTTCGGACTACTAGCATTATACTGCAATACTTTTCATGACTTTTTAATTTTAATTCAAGACTTAACAATCGAATTAATGTCTGGCAAATTTATTTTAAGTTTTTCTTATCTTAAATAACATAATATTAAAATTACAGACATTATAAAATACTTTGAAATTTTTATAAAAAAATAAAATAAAATCGCGTATGGCACATAGTTAGCATTGTCAAAAATGTCTGGCAATAAAAAAAGTATGTCAGGTAGACTTATTTAAAAACAAAAAATTAAAAATTACGCCTTCTAAAATGGTTTTAAAATACAGGATTACTACCTGGACAGGTAGGATGCGCACTAATGAACGCAACCGCTACCGCCAGCCAGATAGCCCAGAGTCTAACCGAAAGTGCAAGAAGGACGACATATCACAAAATCAGCTGACCTAAAATTCTTTCTCGAAAACGTTGCTAGCTCCTATACCAATCTGTTTTCATGGATTTCATCATTGATTGTTAGATAATCATATCTGTTGAAGTTCCACAACTGAGTTTATCAGAACGTCGAACAGTGAAAAATCCTTCAGTAAACCTTCGATAAACACTAGGATCAATTACCTCCTCTAATTGAAGCTTATCCTGCAAGTATAAGTGCGCAGACTTAGCGTAAGGTAAATGCCCCGATGCATGGAAATAAGGAAGCATTTCTTTAACGCAGTTCAAATGAGCTTGCCAATCTCCCATACGTTCAGCTCTTATAAATTCTTTTGCAATGGACACCATCCGAAAATACTGTACCCATAATTGTGCAGTTGGTCCTCGTTTCTGATATTCCATTATCTTTTTATTAAATAAATCAAGTAAAAGTTCAGATATTTATTTGTTATGTGCATACTATGTAGAACATGATTCTTACAAGCGCAATATCTGGGAAATAGTGGGTCTTAGAGAAAAAATCATAGGGACCATTTTTATAGAGAGAATTTTAAGATCTACAACTTTGCTCTGAGGTACTTTTTCGATAAAACTTACCGTTTTCGAGAAAAATCCAAAAAACCTAAAATTTTGACCTTGGGCCCCGAATAAGTCCCTAAGCTCACATGGGACTGATGGGGACTTTTGACACTTTATTCCTTGTGGTAAACCTAAGGTCTCTACGAAGATTTGGCTCTGTCGGAATTTTCTTTATTTCAATTGTCTAAAATGACCGGACTATAAGTGTCATAACTCGTGTGTTCGTGGGTCACTGCTGTTGATCCTGGTGTACACTGCAGTGAGTTGCAGTTGTCCATGGGCGGCGGTAGTTGGTTTCCATCAGATGACCCGTCTGCTGGTTTACCCCCTCTTTAATACGTAAAAAAATCTCGTTGCCAAACTGCTGCTAACACAAAAACAGCGAATTGGATTAAAATTATATATTTTTCTGTCATATTTAATTATAAATTTGCAAAATACAATCTAGAAGAATGATTAAATTTAGAATTTAGTTCGACGGTCAAACAAATGAGAACAAAGGAACGAATATATGGTAAATCTAGATCTCATGAGAACTATAGCATATAAACGACTTGTGTTCTTTTAACTCCTTAACCTCAAGAAAACGTGCAAGTCTGAACATGTCCACTAAAACTCCAATAGGTAATCACCTTCCTATGTCTTCGTTTCTCTCAATCACACAGCAAACAAAACAACCTCAAATAATTACATTTAATCAAATATAAATAACAAACATTATTATAATTAAAAAGACAAAAATAATGACAAATAACACAATTATTGACTAGTCAAAGTAAATTCCATAATCTCGATGATGTTTTTTATAAAATCATATGTGTAAATATTAATTGATTAAAAATAATTCGATAGTGATAGTGACACCTATCCAATAGGCCAGTGATGAAACACATTCATAAAATTAAAAACCTTCTAATTATAGCAAGACAAGACCACTAAACCTAGTCCCGCATCTGAAGACTCAAATGCCGGACCTCACGGCTTTTTGTCTTTAATCGGTCCAAATTCGTCGTACCATTCTACCATATCTTGTTCTGCAAATTTTAAAGCCTTTCTGTTCTGATCTGCCCGTTAATAGTCAAGGTCATCAGCTGTGAACTTAATGCGACGTGATGGGACCTCCCAAATGCGAACATTACTGTCCGCGTCACCGGCTGCGATGCGACACACCCTGCAACATGAGATCACAAATAAAACTGCATGACTGCACGGATGGCGTAGTGGTTTAAGCGGTCGCCACGCCGCTTCCTACTACGCCGAGTGTTGTGGGTTCAAACCCCACATGGGACAACACTTTGTGTGATCCACAAATTGTTGTTCTGAGTCTGGGTGTTCTTTGTGTCCGTTTCATGTATGTTTGTAAAGTCCCCCGCGACACAGGTTTATTCCTAATGCGGGAGTTGTCTTTTTAAAAAAAGAAAAAAAAAAAAACACTGTTGTCTGCGTGAAAAGAAACATGAATTTCCATATTCCTTAACAATAACTTAAAATCTCACACACGATAGTCCGATCCCAAATTTCTATAAGATTGGTTGTGGTTATCAGATATCGTAGCATTTTCTAGATTAGGTTATATACCTAGAGAAGTTGTATGCATAAACAACTTAGCCACCTGGCTTCGTACGGCTAGGTAGAACACATGCTTTCATTCTTTTTTGGAACGAATTCCTTATCGCGCGTTGTGAAAGGGACGGCTAGACGGAAAAAAATCTCATGAAAAGTTGTAACGACACTTTATTTTGAATTGTCACTTGTCAGTCATTCAGCGCCATCTATCGAATAGACACGAAATCATTACTTTTAATCTCAGTAAGATTAAAATTTATGTTCTTAGGTTGAGCAAAAAATATTGTATTCGACATTTATTTATTTATTTATTTTCTTTAAAAACAACTATTTTTACAGGCTTAGTACAATGCAATAGTGTTATACCATCTACTTATTTATTATAAGAAATAATTCTTAATGCTGTTATTGTGAATTCACTCAGTTAGCAATAAAATAAATCTACTTCATCCAAGTAATTTCATCATTTCTCAAGGGGATTTTACCAATGTATAAATTGTTTTAATTAGAAACCAACTGAAAAATATGTAGGTAATAGCCGCTTTCATAGATGGCGTTGTAATTAAAATCGTGTCAAATCAGTTTTACTCGATCGTCACAACTTCGTTCCTATCGGGTGTCCCACGACACCACACGGCTTTTTTATTGTCATAGTAAATAGATTTTTTTAAGGTGAAAAATTTCATACAACTAATGGTTTACGCGGTGCGTACCTTTGAAATTCATGAAATGTGTTCACTAAAATCCACCCCGACTGCCAGCTTCAGGCGCCTACTCTTTGGAGAACCCGGACCATATCTACGCCACGCCTAACGATTAGTACCTAGAAATTGTAACTCACCCACTCTGGTTGACAGTTATAGCAGTGACACTTCCACCAGGTCCTGTCAAACCGTCCACTGGTATGGGCCGCCCACTGTTCACATTGTACAACTTGATGAGCTGTCCTGAAGGCCTTGCTACACCCAGTACGACCACATACGGGTTGTTTGGCAGCCATGCCATGCAGGAGATTGAGACGTCCAGACAAATTACCTGTCGAGAAAAAGGTTACAAAATGAAACAAAAAAAAAGACGTTGAAGAAACTAAAAAGCCTTGAAATAGTCACAAATGTTGTGTGACATCTGCCATCTCAGATATCCGACAACTCTGGAACCGTGCGCGCTCACCGGTGTTACACACTTCCGTTTCGAAAGGGAGAGATTAATGTTACACATCAAAAACATTAAGTCTGATTTTTACCTTTTAGTCTAAGAATTAACAAAAATAACTTTTTACCTTTAGAGGACTTGTCTGATTGACATCATAGACTCTAACCTCCGAGTCTATAGACGCTGAAATAAACACTCCCGGCTTATGGATGCTAAAAGCGACATCTACAATGCATGTGCGGTGCCCATCCAAGACTTCGTACACAGGATCCACCATCTTACTGTCAACTACCTGCTGATAGGTCTTCGTCTTACATAAGTACAGACTCCCAGTACTCGAACCGACTACAAATATATCATCAGGGACCTTTTGATCGCTGGGCCGTAAAGGATAAGTTTTAATAAAATCGAAACAGCTGATGTCAATCGCCGCCATCTTGCGTGAGCCATTTATCAAGTAAGATATAACGTTTTCAAAAACTTTGATTTTCAAATTCCCATTCACTTGCCATACGTTGACACTACCATCACTGCCTGATGATATTAATATGTTATCTGTGGCGCTGCGTCTTTTGCCTGTGTTGATAATTTGCATGGTCAAAAAAGTGTTTGCTAGCGGTGCATCGGCCCATTGTAGGCCGGTAACCCGTTTCGATCCATGAGATCCTCCTGGAGAACTCAACAAATCTGCATCCAAGTTCCTCAAATTGCACAGAACTACTTCTCCAGATATCGTCCCGTAAGCCAGCAGTGCTGATACCGCGGGATGATACTTGACCACAGAGATACAACTCTTTTCAGTAACATCTAAACTCCTGACAAATGTATCGCCTGCCGTTCGTTTCACAGTAAAAATTCGTATTAAACCGTCATCGTTACACCAATTTTCATGCTGGTTACGACCAATAGACACAGCTAAAGAATTACCAGCATTACTCCAGCATAAATCTAGGACCGACTTGGACTCATCCCCCCCTCCTATACCTGGGAGGTCCGTTAACTTAATCTCTTGAAAAAGTTTAGCGTTTAAAACCTCCTCTTCATCAGAATCTGACGAATTGTACAATAATTCCTTGTCGTTTTGGTCTAGTTGTTCAAGCATCGACGGGACAACTTTTCTGAGAAATTCATTTAAACCTGGAGGGGGGTATTCCTTGAGGATCTCGTCCTGAGCGTTAAGTTCCTCGGGCGTGGCAAGAGAACCAGCGTCGTGTGACAGAGCAGTTTGAGAACCGACACCATTCTCATAAAAGTCCGTAGTTTGGGTTGAAGAGTCCATTTCATCAGCTCTGTTCAAAGTAACGGAGTCGAAACCTATAGCTTCACTGTCAAAACCGCTCAAACCAGACATTTTCAATAAATATTCACGTAATGAAATGAAATTATTTTCAATATTTTGGCAGTAAACCTTCGTGCGATTGTTCCAACTTTGTTTGTAAATATTCTTTTTATCAGTTGTCATGGTAACGCAGCTGTTTTATAAGTTGCCAGTATTTTTATTTTTTTAATAAAAGGTTTATTGTAAGTAAAAGAAAGGAAAATTATAACAATAATAAATATAAAGCTAACGACTAGATAATGTAATAAAAACAACAATGTTAATACCAAGAACGGTGTTTTGTACTACACTACACACAAATAACAATAAGTAATATATATATATTAAGCAACAGATTGATTTGATGATTGAAACTAACAGCAAAAAATTGTCTTGATAAAAGCCGTCTCACCGTGCCAGGCTTAGTACGGAACAAGTCATACTGTAGAGAGCTATGAAGCTCATTGAGGGTACGTGCACTTCACAGAAGGAAGGAATCACTCCTATAGTGGTCACGAATGGCACGCAGAGCAATGGTTGTTGTCTCAGACTTGATTGAGATAGGAGCTCACTGGTTGCAATTGCGCCTCTTGAGATGCTAGTCAAATAACAAATATCACTTATAAGGCGCCTATATTCTAGTGGAAGGAAGTTATATCGTCTACAACGATGAATGTAGTCATATGAACTTTGCTGAGCTCTAAAGTCCAAATATCGCAAAAACTCAGGATAATCTCAATACGAGACTTATAGACTTCGTATTGTGGGTTCCAGAGTCTGGAACCCACAATACGAAGTCTATAAGGCGCGGCCTTTTGGAATATGCATCTGCAAGTCTGGAATCCAGACTTGCAGATGCATATTCCAAAAGGCCGCGCACAAAGGAACAGTAATTTTTATGGGTTTAATTTAACCGAAACAGGTGGCTGTTCTCATAATGAAGCCAAGGGCCCTTGACGCCTTATTGACCATTCTATCAATATGTTGATCAAATATTAGCCTGCTGTCTTGCATGATTCCAAGGTCTCGAACACTATTGAGATTGCTGATTTGCTGCTGACTCAATGTGTAACCAGGACCAATTGTAGATGTTTTGCGGGAGAACGTTATTTGATAGCATTTGGTTACATTAAGCTGCAGTTTATTAACTTTACAGTACATTTCAAATCTGTCAAGATCAGCTTGAAGTTCTTGAGTGTCAGACAGTTTTTCACTTTATAAAGCAGGATGTAGAGTGTATGAAGCATCTCATGATGTCAGCTATCAATACTACAAACAACAGAGGCCCCAAGATTGATCCCTGTGGAACGCCGAAAGGGATAGTTTGCCAGTCAGAGGTGTAGCCCTTAAGAACCACGGCCTGTGTCCGACTATCTATATAAGAAGTAAACCATCTATACAAAATCGCCATGAATTCCAGCGGCCAGTAATTTCTGTAAAAGCAGCAAATGATCTATTCTGTCGAAGCATTAACTGTAGTCAGTATTTATCCACCATCGTTCCAAATGGCAAAATTTTCATCCTCATTACCTGTATAGTTGGCGCTCCACTACTGTGCGCTTTTCGAGACACTTTTTGCCCCGCACAACCAATCTGTGCAACGGGTTATCGTCTGCGGTATTTCCGGACCGATACAACCTTCAAACCTTCAAGAAAAGAGCGTACTCCTTCCTAAAAGGCCGGCAACGCGTTTGTGGCTCCTGAGTTGCAGACGGTCTTCTCGTCTGCCCCATCAAACATAAATAAAAAAATTATAACGTCCACCTGTGCACCTCGTTTCATGCCACTAGATACAAATTCATGCGAGAGAATCAAGTTTGATATTGTGGAGCGGTTTTTTAGAAAACCATGTTTTTCCTCACCGATAATACTTCTAACCACCCCGCAGACGTTTGTATGGACCTGGAGATTTTTTATTAACGACGAGAACTTGAAACATTCTGGATTTTTAAGCTATTGCATAGCTTCTATCGCGGGCCTTAAGCGTGGAGACCGAATACAGAAATTCCGTAACGAAAATAACCTGACACACCCCACGTGATACTTTTTAGTTTTGCCATCTATCGATGAATAGCAGAACTTTTAATGACTTTTTAGAAATATCACGCAACTCGCCTCTAGGTGGCATTGGTTGTATCACGTTACTGCGCATGCGTAATCCCCCTCTTCGCCCCGCAATCTAAGTAATATCAAAGAAAAAAAAACAAAGGAAAAAAATCTCTAAATATCATACGGGGTACGTTAATAAGGGAAAGATTATTTAAAATCAATGAATTTAAGAAAAAGGTACCTACTAATAATTTTCATGCAAATCGACTAGATTAATGGTGAACATTATGTAAAAAAAGTAATTAACTGATATGTTTAAGAAAATAGTAAACGTCAACGGTACTTTTTTTTTTTTTTTTTTAACGTGTGGAAATCCCCTCGGACCGTCACCCCTCCGGGGTTTCGCCTCCCCTCCGACTCGGACCGACTAAAACCACACGGTGTGCCACTCTGCGCCTGTAACAGGAGGGATCCGGGAACAGCTGTTGTTAAGACATCCGGACCCCTCCTAGCGCCAGCCCGCTCCTGGTGCGGGCTCCGTCTCAATGTTTTTCCCTCTCTTTAGGCGACGTCCGGCACACGCGGACGCCGCCCCCTCGCGGCTGGCCAAACTAATGCGGGTGGAGGGGAAACCCACCCCGTCCACCCGCGGCCACACTCAGGGCGGCATGAGGCTGTGATAGGCGGGCCTCCGCCGCCCGGTTCGCCGGCGGCGGATCGGGTCCGAGTGGAGGTCGTCCTCCCGGGCCCTCTCCGCCGCCTCCTTCCGCGAGATTACTACCTCGCAGAAGGTTGCGACCGCGGTAAAACAACTGTCGCTACCGGCCATGGAGCGTACTACGGCCGGTAGCGAGAGATCCACTCCGATGACTGCAGTGAGGGCCCGGCGCTGCGCCGCCCATGCGGGGCAGACCGCCAGCGTGTGCTGGGCCGAGTCCTCACTGCAGTCGCAGTGGTGGCAGGCGGGACTCAGTTCCCTCCTAGCGACCGAGTGCAGGTACTTTCCGAAGCAACCGTACCCGGAAAGCACCTGCGTCAGCCGGAAGGAAAGGGTCCCGTGCTGCCGCCCTGCCCACTCGGCGATGACCGGCTGGAGAGCCTCCAGCGCGTGGAGTCTCCAGCCGGAACGACCAACGAGCCATCGTGGCTCGGCGAGCGGCTTCGCGCCACTCGCGCACATCCTCGGGCGGAGGGCGAATTCCGCTCTCGAAACGCCTCCGTCGAAACGGTGCGGTAACCGCGTATGGCTCTGACCGCCATTACCCTCTGAGGGCGCCAGAGGCGTACCCTATTCTGGGCGGTCAGAGCCGCCGCCCACACCGGTGCACCGTACAGTGCCATTGACCGGACAACCCCCGTGTACAGCCGTCTTGTCGCGACGCTGGGTCCACCCATATTGGGCAAAAGTCGCCCTAGGGCAGACGCAGCGCCGACCAGCTTTGGAGCAAGCTGTCGGAAGTGCTCGTCGAAGAGCCACCTCCCGTCGAGGATCAGGCCCAGATATTTCATCTGGGCCCGAACCGGTACGAGGACCGAGTTGACCACGATTGAGGCGCCAGGGGGTGGACCACGACGGGGCCCATGAAATAACAGGGCCTCCGTCTTATCTAGGGCCACCCGTAAGCCCAGCGCCTCAATGCGCCCGACCACCAGGGAGACTCCCCCTGTGGCCAGGCGCGCCGCCTCTTGGAAGTTTGCCCCCCGGGCTGTCACCAGGGTATCGTCTGCGTAACAGATTACACCCAGTCCGGGGGGGAAATCGGCGCGAAGGGCCCAGTCGTACCCTATGTTCCACAAGAGGGGTCCAAGAACAGACCCCTGTGGAACACCGCACGACATGGGCCGACACCTCAAATTTAATTCTCGGTCCTCGTACACGACGGTACGCTCCTCTAAATAGTCTGCCACTAGCCGCCTCAGGTACTTTGGCACCCCATGATAGTGGAGTGCTTCCCTGATGCAGCTGAATGGCAGACTATTGAATGCGTTGGCGATGTCTAATGACACCGCCAACAGCACGCCGCCACAGCTCACGGCCTCTTCGGTCACGGCCCTCAGGCGCAACACGGCGTCGACTGTCGAACGCCCCGCCCGAAAACCAAATTGGGCGTCCTACAGATCGGGGCCCACCTCGCAGAGGTGCCGGACGATGCGGGCAGAAAGAACCCTCTCAAACAATTTACCCGCCTCGTCCAGCAGCACGATGGGCCTATAGGCCGCGACCGAATCGGCAGGCCGTCCCGGCTTCCTTAATAGGACCAGCTTCCCGCTCTTCCAGCACTCAGGGAAGCGTCCCGACGCCAAGCTAGCGTCGAACACCTCCCCGAGGCGGTCTGCCATGTGGTTGAGGGCCAGGGCCAGCACTCGGGCCGGTACCCCGTCTGGCCCAGGGGCGGTGTTCTTGGAACGGATCCGTAGAACCGCCGCCCCTCCCTCCGAATCCCGGACGGGCGGAACATTTTCCTCCCCGTGCTCCCCGTCGTCTCCGGCCAAGGAGGCCATCGCCGGGGGAGTGTGTTCCGCTCGTTGTGGGAAAAGGCCCTCAACCACTTCTCGCAGGAAGCTGGGCTGGAGAGTCTCCGTAAGGGGGGGCCCGACGCGCGGAGCTTTTGTTACACCGCGCGGTAAGGGCGACCCCAGGGGTCACGATTAAGACCCTCCAGCATCTCCTATCTCTTTTCTTCTTTGGCGCGGTTAATGGCCAGCTTCAGAGTTTTCCGCGCCTGTCGGTACTCCTCATGAAGCCGGTCCTCCTCACCGTCTCCACGGTGACGCCGCCGACTGCGCGTGTAGGACCTCCGGGCACGTGTACAGGCCGCACGGAGGTCCGCCAGCTCCTGGGACCACCAGTAGACCTCCTTCCTTGGAGGCCGACGACCTTGAATGCGGGGCATGGCCGCATCGCAGATATGCGTAATCGCATCGCGAAAGCGACCAGCCCCCACGTCGACCTCCTCGGTCGGAGCCTGAGGAGACAGCCACGA